GTTTATTTTTGCGTGGATTACCTCTATTCAAATGAATCAATAGGGTATGTAGATTTATCGGATTTCAACGAAACTTGGCCAAAATGTTCGTCAGATATTAGCGCAGCAAAGGGGGTGAGGCTTTTGCGAAAATCGAAATATTTTTCCTGTGACGCCCCATCGAGTAATAGCAGTCAGAAAATTTTCTATTGTCCAACTTTGAAAGAGATTTTCTAAGCAGCCAATAGAAATATCGAAAAAGCCTCACATCCTTTGTTAGCCCATCGATCTCCTCATTGATAATGTCCAGTCAGTTTGGATGTCCGCGGTAACACAAAGGCAACCTAGTTCCCAGGATCTCTCATCTTACCGCCCCCTGGAGCAGGGGGCGGTAAGATGAGAGACCCTGGGAACGAGGTTGACACAAAGGCTGGTAATTCAGTTTAGCAAGTACGATCATTTTTGCGTTTTTAGGCTAGCGCGTGACTATCAAAACAAAAATAGCAAAATATATTGTTATTTTCGGATTCTACAGTTTATTAGCTTTACATTGATATATAGTTTGCCGTGGTTTTCTTTAAAGCAACGCGTAAAGAAAACATTTTCCAGAAGGCACCCTTGAAGGTCTACAGTAACCTTAACAAACATAATTACATCGTCACAAGACACAGCAAGTAACGGCCTTTAAAACCCGAGGGGAATTAGGAAAATCGGAGCCGGAGTTTGAATTATATTTTTCACTTTTTGTAAAAGAATGAGTCCCACACTGTGTACGGATAAAAGAAACTTTAATAACAGCTTCATTACAAACAGCTTTCGTTTGCCTTAGTGTTGTGAGTTTTAGTATTTTACCATTCGTAGTTTTTACAATTCAGTAAGATTTTAGAACGTTTGTGCCGAAATTGCGTTTACCTCCGCTTACCTACTCTTAAATATCTTCAGACTCCCTTGTTGGATTCTAGATCTTCATTTGGTCTAAAGGATAATAACACAGCTTCTAAAAACAATAGCTTTCCAAGACTTCCTACTATGAAACTTAAATCGCTCTACAAAACTGTTATAAATCTTCAAGAAATTATTTTTGAAAGTTTAAAAAATCTCTTACAAACCGAAGGCTGTAAACGCACAGTAATGGCAGGCTGAAATTTTTATTTACGCATATATTATTCAAGGCAATAAATTAATTTGGTCTCTGGAGCCGTTATTATTTGCTTAAAGAACTAAATAATCTCAAGAGAAGAACCAATGTTTATAACTTAAAAAGTCAGGACACTCCTGTGGATCTACTTTAATTTATATAGTGATTAATTTCTAAATTTTCTTACTTTTTATAGCAAATTTAACTGTGACATGAGAGTCACGAGAATCAAGGGCCTGATCATAACAAGACCAATCGACGCATTTGCTCTGATGTATCGCTAAATTCTCATAATCAAGATTGCAAGAGAAATATGGAAATCTTTAAAGAGAGTTAACATTACATATTATTACTACACTCCTAAAAAGTATTATTTAAAAAAATTGACTTGTGTTGACTTCAGAATGGTTCTAAACCTATTTTTGCTAAACAAGAGGTGGATGTTCGTAATAGAGCTCATTCCCATAAGGAGGGAAATTATGTCTTTTTGGATCTCGTAACGTTACACGGAGGTGCCCTATTCATCAGTAACAAAGTAGACATCAACAAAAGAAATATACATTAATCGTGTTTATACCACAGAATGTCACCCGAGTTTTCAACATAACGGCAATATCTCCCAGTCAACCACATGGCCTTGAATATCGGGGTGTTATCTTTGTAATAAAACTCTCCTAAAGCTTTTTTCAGATGCTTGGTCGCCTCCACCGCATGGTAATGTGGCATGTATGAGAACACGTGATGGGCAATATGTGTGTCACCGATATGATGAAAGACGTAATTCAAAATGCCATAGTCTCGATCAACCGTACACAGGGCTCCCTTAAGCCAGCTCCACTGCCGTCCTCTGTAATGAGGCACAGCTGCGTCAGAATGCTGCAAGTCGGTAATAAATACCAACCAGAAGTTCACTATGAGATACGGGATGATATAGACTTTCACCAGCCACAACACAGAATTAACAGAAGCCAGGTAACCAAGGAAACCGATCCACGCCACCAGTGCGACGTCGCTAATTATCACGTCTCGGTAATCTTTGTCGCTGAAAATTGGGCTATTGGGGTTGAAGTGATCCGTATGTGTGTGATATTTACGACCTGTGACATGGAACAGAAGATACGCAGGCCAACCGAATAAGAACAGTTTCAACAGGCTTAAAACGTTCCATGAAGGAGAAAGAGCTGCCAAACTTCCTTTTCTGAACTCATCTTTTGTGCTGGGGACAAACACTTCATCGCGGTCCATATCGTTTGTGCTTCGGTGATGTTTTGCGTGACTAATTCGCCAGGAATGGTACGGCACAAGAAGAGGGGTGTGTAACGCAAGCCCAGTGAAGTCACAGACTGTCTTGCTATCCGAAAACGAGTAGTGGCCACATTCGTGGGCTAAAACCCATATACCAGTGCAGACGCAGCCTTGGCAGATCCAATAAACCGGCCAGAGAATGTACGAGGCCCATGGCGTTAAATATGGATGGGTGAAATATCCTGTGCTTAAAAACAGAACCCACGCCATGGTTAAATCCAAAGCGACATAAGTAAACGACTTGAAGGTGTTTCGCTCAAAACAATGAGCAGGAATGGCGGCTTTCAATTCCTTCAGCGTAAATGGCGGGTCATTAGTCGGCCGAGGAGTCTTGTTGAGTGTGATGTAACTTTCCGGCATTGTAGAAGTAGTTCCTGAAGAGTTTAAAACTGAGAACTTCACGTTTTCGCCGACGAACCTGAACTCTAAACTAAAATCTACAAACAAAAAACCACAAAGGTTGTTTGCTTATATATCTGGTGGCCGGTGTGTTAGACTAGCTATAGCATCTTTTGGTAAAATTTTCCAGTCACAACATGACAACCAACCAGAAGCAAGGAAAGCGCGTGTTGCTCAAGGTCGCGTGGATGAAGGTTATTCAAGGTGAGTGCCAAGCCGACGGAAATTCAATACACCTTATTCCAAAATGGCSGCCATTTTAGTATTCTTTTGTTTRCTTGACAATGAGCCCTTGTTGCCTCGTTTAAGGGAAAATATTCTTTTGAATTTCGAGTTTAAGAACGAGGTAAAAAGGGCTAATTTGCAAGTAAACAAAAGAATACTTAAATGGCGGCCATTTTGGAATAACATGTATAGATTTGAAACGACCGAAATATTCAGCATCACGGACAGAATCTTCTAAAACAGAACAAGAAATCCACATTATTACATTGGTAACTTTAAATCTGCAAAAAAAAATTTTCCCGAAATTATCGCTGAAAGCATGAATACCGGGCATAAATAATTCATTTGCGTTGCGTTGCGTCGCGGAAATTATGTGGGTTTAGTAACATACATACCAGACGATGTGGTGTGTTGCTTTCCACGTGCCTATCACGACCACGTGCAATGGCTGATTTGAATATTTGTGGATTAACTGATAGTTCGACCTTTTTCCCAGGTTGTGTTATCTTTTCTTCTCTTGCGTAATAAGACATTTTACAGCGTTTGGTCATTAGGCAAACGAACTGAGTGAATATGAAAGTTTTGGATGTTCACAAGAACTATTGTCAAGCTATTAACAAGCTCCCTATTCCAAATTCTCCTCAATGTTTCCAACACATTTTCTTCAATTTTTTCAAGAGAATTCAGTCTTTAGTCAGGTGTGTTTTCTTTATAAATGATCAAGTTCACCATCCTCGTGGCTTTTGCCCTGTGCTTTAAATGGCCTTGAATTTCTTGTCCGGAATAAAGAGCGCTTTTTGAGCGTTAGACTTTAGGCGGCCTTGAATTTTTGGGTTGGACTGTCTCCTCTTTTATTAGCAAAGTATTGTCAAGATAAGAAAATACAGGCTGTTTGTTTAGCAGCTTCCCTTTGGGATTTACCTCCGCCTTTTACACTTACAGGTCTTGGTTCGATTTTCAACACTCAACGTTTTAGCTCGGGATCACATCTTCTATTGTTTGCGTATCACGCTGCAAGCAAGATGGGGGGTTTTTACACAGCAGCTGTTTTCTGCCGTGAAACAAAGGTTTGTACCTGCTGTTTAACGTCGCTTCAGTACGTATTCTATTAAATTCTCTTCCTTAAAACATTTCAGTTCTACTGATTACATTGAAAACTGTTTTCCAATAATATCATTTGCTTGAGAGCATAATTGTTTCCTGGGTTGCTTACGAAGACATCGATAAGGTTATCGGGACTGAAAATAATGCCAATTCTAAAATAAAAACATCGGGAAATTAAAAAAATTCGCAACCTTAACTTAAAAAAATTTCATCGCGAAAATAAATTAAATTGATGACCCTTGAGGGGTTTAACACACTTTTCACTTCTCCAGCAAAAGAATATTATTATTTCTGCGGGTTATTTTAGTCGGTTGTTTCATGACCTACCGTGAAACAACAGACGAAACCACCGGCTGCTTTTGAAAACAAGTTACATTTGTATTTTTCGACAAATCATTAAAAGTGTTTACATAGAAATATCACTGATTTCCTACGGCAAAGTTAGAGATGCTTTTCTTGGCATAACAAAGTCATTCTGATCGGATTTCTGCCGCAGCGAGGATTGTTTTATGTTTCACGTATACGACAACGTTAGCGGTCTGAAAGGTTTGACGCCTTTCAAGTAGAGTCGTTGCATTCTCAACGGCTGCTCGTTTTTTAGCATATTTTTAAAGACGACGTAAGGTTTTAAAGACGACGTAAGGTTTAATCTCCTCTGGAAGCTCGTTAAACAAGGTAACAGAGTAAGGTAAGTATGAGGGACGAGATTTAAGTCAAAAATAGTTGCTACATAAAATTTTACCTAGAGAGTTCACTGAAAATTTGTCACGCATCGCTTCCCAAACTGAATCACAGATGCAACTATTTATCCAGTGACAAGTTTACAAGCCCTGGCTGACAAGCCGCTGAAACAATCCACTGCCTATGCAGGAAATCTTTACATTAGCTGGAAGTGCCGGGTTTTAGTTGAAAGGCCGGCAATTACTTGGACAAGCCTAACCCTATTCATACCATGATACCAATTCATGAACTTTTCCAAATGTTTTATGATATATCAAAGCAGTGTTGTAGCTATGAACAACATCGACCCAAATCTTTTAATACATAGTTTCTCTGTATAATATGTAAAACAATTTGTATCGCCGTCAAACCCCTCCGATGCAAATGTCCCGTAGGCACATATAATGGCAACTGATATGTGTTTTATCAACAATGTGGCTACCCCAGGTTGACAATATTACCCGGCGATTATTATTTTTTCTCAAGCGTCTGAGCGGATAGGAATCCTAAATCCTCGAATTTGATTGGCTAATCATACGCACGTGACCGGTTCAGCTATTTACGATACGACTTACGGGCCGGATTTTTTCCCCGCTACCTAAATTTCGCTCCTAAAAGTTAGCGGTAATCGTCAATCTTTTGCCTTTTTTACACATCCATCGACGATTAGTCAACGCAAGTTTATCTCAGTTCCCTTTAAAATGGCAAGGAAAGTCACTGTTAGTAAATCCTATCGAGTGTTTTGAAGTTGTGAGAGTTTACTTGGTCGTTTGTAGCTTGGCGCTGTAATGGCGCGTAATCCTGTCTTTCTCTCGCCGTAAAATTTGAGTCAATTTCAGTCGAGTTTACCTCTCTGATCGTTGCTGTATTTAGGAGAATTTCTGTGGAATCCAGTTAACGAATTTCCTCGCTTTCTGCTATTCCATTTACGGTAGAAAAGTCTGATTTCAAGTGATCTTAAAAACAACGACTGACAGAAATTGTTTTTCTAGTAAAACTTCAAACTTCGCACGAAATTTCACACCGCAGAAACAATTTTGGAGAACTTAACTGGTGAAATAGGTGCAACTAACATGAAGTAGTTAGAAAAATATCTGTCTGTCTTTGTCTACTCTCTGAGATACGCGCTCGTTGCGAAGAGTTTTTTACAAATCGTCAGTAGACGGCGTGAAGCCGATTCAATAACAAAGTTGCGTAAACAAACCCATTTGTAATCTGTAAAACCAATTTACCGTAGGAAAAAAAATAGACATGTTATTTGCCGGCTTAGGGTCGGTCCGTATAGTGAAAAACTGTGACCTCGGGCTTGAAAATGCTGCCCTCGGCCTGCAGCCTCGGGCAGCATTTATTCTCTAGGGTAAAATATTTATGAAAATTATTCACTTTATTTTTTCTTGGTAAACTGATTGTGACAAACAATGTCATACAAAGCAAACAGAAATTTAACTTACACAACTTCATGAATAACAAGATCAATTTCATCTCATAGTTGGTATTCATAAAACGGAAAATACATTTATTGACAGGTGTATGTCAACAAAATCGACCGAAATTAATTTGTTCCGTGCAAAGTTCATCTTTCGAGCAAGGAAAATTGCAAGAGTAACGAGCACGTAATTTCTCCTTACGATATCGCGGGTACATTGTCTTACAGACAGATGATGAGAATAAGGAAAATCGTCACTAAACATGAGAATACCGTCCTTTTTTTGTATACCGTCTCATTCTCGGAATGAACATTGAAAAAAATGTATAATAACAATCAATAATAATAATAATAATAATAATAATAAAACTTTATTTAAGTGTCAAACCATGTAGCCTGGGAGACATTCATACTAATAAAGGAACACAGACTAATACAAAATACCAAACTGAGAAGACTAAGTAAGTAATTTGCATGTCACAGTTCGTTTGAAAATCCGCTTCTGCACCTAGAATACAACGAGTCTAAAGATCCAGCATCAGCCAATAAGTGTCAATAGCAAAGTTCTTTTTCAATACTTCCAACACTTAAAATATGTTAGCGGTGATTGTAATTATTGCGCGACTGAGACAGCTGTGAGGACTAATAACTAAACTCAGCCAATCAGAATGATTTGCAGTCGGTCCAATACTTTCTTTGGACATGGTATGGTTTCGACAAACATTCAGTCTGTGTGGTAATCTGTTGTTAACAACGCTTGCTCGAGTCTGTACTGGTCTGTCATGAAGGGAAATTTCGTCCCTAGGTGTTATCTATACCGCGCTCGAAATAAGGGCCGGTATTTCCCTCGTGCGGAACGGCATGGTAAATAACATACAGTTGAACCCTGCTATTTCGAACTCTTAAGGGAAAAGAAAAATAGTTCGAAATAGTGGGAGTTGGAAATAGCCGATAGTAAATGACTGGAGAGCAAATCAAACGGAAAGGGTTTGAGTTCGAAATAACGGGAAATTCGAAATAACCGAGTTCGAATTAGCGGGGTCCAACTGTAAATCTACTAGGCTGTAGTTAACACGAGTTAGAACGCGTGAACCAGAGCTTGCAAAACTTAGTCTAAACTTGTAATGTGCGTCCTGGAAATTGGTCGTAAATCAAGATATTGGTTTTTTTTCTCGGTTGCATTCACGTACGCTCAAATCGTTTGTCGATCGTGACTAGAATTGTCATTTTTTTAACACAAATATATAGTAAGTGGGATTCTTCGTAAAAGGCGACTTGCTTCCTCTCTTTCTCGGTATATTTTGCGTCAAACTAATGGAAAGCTCACCATGTGTTTATCTGATTTTCTGTCATTTTGATAAAGCTATTCTTAAAAACAGTTATGACAATAAACACATTCAGTCTTCTAATAATCTTTTCTTTTGTTTTATATTTCAATGAACTTTCAATAGCGAGGTTTAACACGGATTTCATGGCAACGGCTGCTATCCTTTTTCTGTGTGTTTACTTAAATATAATACAATTTTTTCAGATAAGACAACTCGAAAAAAAACCTTTCCTTCCTAGCGAATTCTCTGAGAATCCCAGTCGAACGTACGTTAAATTTTGAAAGGAATTTTCACGCCTGCATATCTCGTTAGAATTCAGTCCCAGAATAGATATATTGTTATTGTTTTTCAAGAAGAGAGCATTTCTTTCGCACGGCGAACAAAACCAAGTGTTTATTTAATGAAATTCATAACAAGCTCAGTGTTTGGCCCGAGGGACAGTCTGATTTAAACAGCGGCAAAAGAGAGAAAAGAAATAAC